GAGGAATTTTGGCCCACTCTTCTTTACAATGTTGCTTCATTTCATTGAAGTGTGTCGTTATACAAACCTCAACTCATTGTATTAATAGGAGAGTGGTAAAATGAACTAAAGCATTTTAATTAGGTCTGAGTATAGGCTTTGACTGATCCATTGCAAGACCTTGATTCCTTTCTTTTTTTTACCCATTCTGATGTAAATTTGCTGTTTGGGATCATTGTCCTGCTGGATGCCCCAGTTTCAGCCAAGCTTTAGCTGTCAGACAGATGGCCTCACATTTGACTGTAGAACAGGGGTGCGGAACTCCAGGCCTCAAGGGCCGGTGTCCTGCAGGTTTTAGATGTGTCCTTGATCCAACACAGCTAATTTAGATGGCTAAATTACCTACTCAACATGTCTTGAAGTTTTGCAAAGGCCTGGTAATGAACTACTCATTTGATTCAGGTGTGTTGACCCACAGTGATATCTAAAACCTGCAGGACACCGGCCCTTGAGGCCTGGAGTTCCCCACCTCTGCTCTAGAATATACAGCGGAGTGATATACAGAAGAGTTCATGTTCAAATCGGTGACAGCAAGTTGCCTACGTCCTGTGACCGCAAAACAAATCAACCCTCCACCACCATGTCTGAGATTTATATTAATAGGGTTCTTTAAAGCTCTTCAAATTTTCATAAATATCTGAGAGTGTTTTTTAAATAGCACATTTGTTATGAGAAAGACTTTTAGTTGTATAACAAGTCATGCAGGTTGATAATATCAATGGCTTGTTCAGTTTGGCTATAGGTTCAAAGCTGTAACCGTAATAGGTATGTTCTTTAGTACTTAAAAAATGTATTACTCTTTACTTTCTGAAAATCCCGAAGAAAATTATCCTATCATTGAACATTAGGAGCACTTTCAGATTATAGGAATGGTTGAATACAGCCATTTTGGTACAGCCAGGTTTTCACTTTGATCCGCCTTCTTCCAGTCATCCCAAATACCCACTGCCTTACAGATACAGGACTTGAGGTTCAAGGATACCTGAATTTGGTACAAAGTTGGAAAAATTGATATACCCTATGACATTTGCAGCTAAGTTAATCAATACTTAACTCAGGGTATCTCACGGTATATCTCAATGTATGAGGTAAAAAGTGTGATGCAAGTTGAGATATTGCAATCTAAAGTCCGCAAGCTGCAACATCTCAGATTTACCAATGTTAGTCAAGTTAAAAGCTACAAATTTGAAAAGTAATGCACACCTCTCCCATGTTTAAAAGTACAATTAAAGAAAGGGATAGAGGGCTTAAGAGAACAGAAATAATACATACAGTTTCATTTGTAGTTCTTTCTGCCAAAGGGCCGATAAGCTCATGCCATGGTGAGCCATCCATCTTCCATCCATCCATCCACAATTCACTGGAATCACTCCTCTGCTTTAGTGAAACTTGCAAACAGTGATCACCTAATAGGGCTTCACCCAAAATGTGCTCAAGGCAAAATCTGTCATTTTACAGCAATAACCTGTGAATTATGGTGAACTATGAGTGGTTTTGTTTTTGCAGGTTTATATCGTAGTAACATACCTTTCTGCTAGTAACGAGGATGTCCGAGTACCATGAGTGAATTCGATTTTGGGCTCATGAGCTGCTTCTTTTATGCAAGTTTGCCCTCCTGTTAACGCTGTTGCTAATGTTTAGTTATTTGCTGACAAGCATCATAAACAGGTTTAGCTCCATTTACACCTGTTCACTGAGGGCAAAAGACCACAGCAAAAGACGGGAAGGAAAGTTGCTGCATAGAGTACAGTTTTGTAAGGAGTAAACCCTCACATTAGCCCAAAAATCAGAGTGAATTACATCTCCTTAACTGCAAAAGATTAACTATTCACTATTAAACACAAGCAGGCTGTCTCAGTTCTTACACTTTAAAATACATAAAAATAATTTGAAAAAATACACAGAGAGACCTGTGTAAAAAAAAAAAAAGATTTTTCACATCCTTGTAGGATTTTATACCTGCAAATAAAGCACTGCGGGTATGGAATGAATGAAAATGCTATTAAAGTGTTAAGCTGCAACCCTAAGAGAGGCATGGGCCTTTCTTCAGCTGGGGGAAATATGGATGGCCTTTGTAAATTAATAGTGTTTGTTTATATTTTCCCTGAAATTAACAATAAAACATCCAATTAGAAATGAAATGTTTTATCAGTTTCAGTGGTTTCATTTCTCCCTTTACCTTTTCCCACATTGCTACTGTTAGTCTGTTTGTGAAAGCACGTAGGCCACACTTGCACAGCAGCAGTAAAAATTAACCTTCAAATCTAATTAAAACTTCAGATGAGGAGAAAAAAACGGCCCCCTTGGCTGATGTGTGATTAGTTTGCTAAATCTGCAAACAAATTAGCCGAGTGAACCTGTCACGTTTATTTTGCATCCGTGGCACTTTTTTTTTCTTTTTTTTTTTAGCAAAGTGGAATATAGAATTTGACAGAATGACATCAGCCAGACAGAAAGGATTCTCATGAATATATGAATTATATGATGGGAAATGAGAATTTAAGGTTCTTGGAAGTCCTTGCTGAATTTTTGTCATTCAGAAATTGTATTGTTTTATAGTGGTTGTAACAGGATTATAACTGTAATATTATCCTGGTTAAAGCTGGGGGATTTTTATTTCACTTAGAAGCTATAATTAAGATTTGCCTCGGTAATAATAACCTGCCAAATAGCTGTAATAAAACTGCACACTTGCCAACAGGCCATCATCATATCAGAGTTAAAGGTAGTGCAAAGTGATGGGATTATACTGACATCTGGTGGAAGATGGTGGCACTTGAAGAGTTTTTATGGAAAACAAGCTCCCAGAAGATACTTGAATGACTCTTAACACCAACTGATTTTGATTTGTCTTTATTTACATTTAATACTGTCAATGCAAACTCTTCTGCCTGAGGCTGAAGAGCACAAGTGGGTGTATAGAAAACGATACATAAACAGATATGATTTAATGAAATGTACTGAAGCTGAAATTTGCCCATCTATAGAAGTGCTTTAAAATAAAAACTTTATTCTCTGTAGAACATTGTGAGAACACACACCCTATTAGTTTTGACTTTTATTCATTATAGCCAGGGTTCATAAGCCTTAATAAAAGTGCTTTACACCACAATATGCGAATAATTATTGAAACTACGATACTAAGATAGCTTTGTACCATAAGACAAATCTTACCAAGTACCCAAATGGTACCATGACTACATTACCATTAGCAATTACAAATGCCATTAATACAGAAAATATATAAATATAAACGTTTTTATTTATTTAATGATTTATATGTGCACAAATTCATACACATTTTGTTTGGCAATAAAGTATGGCACCTGGCGTGACAGCCTTTTTAGCTTCATTCCATGTGAACCGGGAAGCATTAACTCCTGAGCTCCAATTTGGAGTTTTCTGCATGTGAGGGTTGAACAGAGACAAAAGACATGACATCAAGGATCTTTAAGACCGCAGTGGAGTCACAAAGTCAAAAATGAAAACATAAAAAGGTAAAACAAAGGTGATAAGGTATAATGGCATTGCATAACATGACTGTCAATACCACAAATAAATACTGTTTAAACTGCATCAGTATATGCCCTTAAAATTTTGAGTGAACTTAAAATGACTCTAACTAGAAGGCATTTTGAAGAAGCTGGTAAACAAAACATTTGGTTTACAAAAAAACAGTGATTATGATTTCAAGCAGAATTAGGATTGATTGGCATTGGGCATTCAGGATTAAATTTAATTTATGGTATTCATGCTCATCAGTGTAACATCTGTGCCTCCAGCTCTTCATTTTTCTCCCAGCATCTCTCACTCATGGGCTTAACATTAGAGGTCGCCCTGTTCTGAGGTTGGAAATCATGTAAAACTTTTAATAGCTAACTGGTGCCGACCTCTGAGGTTAACCTTGACAGGCTGCAATTGAACTGGCGCTGGGTGGGCGTGAGATGCTCTGCTGAAGGTTACTCAACACGGTGATGAGAGGGTTGTCTGCTGGGATCATAATTGTAGTTTTTTTCCCCCTCCTGTTGAAAGGGTTTGATTAAAGATGTAAAGATGTGGAGTAGATGTGAAAGTCTGATGCAAAAAGAGAGAGAGCAGCTGGGCAGGTGACAAGTTGAAGTTAGTTTTTTCTTTTTTATTTCATCTTTCATGGCATGCAAACGGCCTTCCAAGGACATTTAGCAAAATGTGTCCTTGTTAAAAAGGACAGGACATAAATCCCATATTTTGATTGTGCTTCAGTTCGCCACATGAAAATATTTCAAATCTTTTTTCTTTTTCATAAAAAGCATGTCTGAACCAAATTTAAAAAAAAAACCCTCTATAATGTAGTGAATAATACAACATTTAACACAGAACTGCACCCTTAGATAATCTTGCAGATATCAACTTTTATCTGATATGATCAAGCAGTTGAGTTTGGCATGTGCACATTTTGCATCAATCAACCTTGTCTCTGTAGGTAGCTAAATACATCCAAAGTGCCATTTCACACTGCCAGAATAAACTTAGAATTTGGCAAAGGCACTGAAATGTAGAGTTGAGACTGGAAATTCCGTCATTTGTCTGTTCAAGAAATGAATATAGCCTCAAAGAAATAGCCAGATAATAATCTATACAATACTGACAGCATCTGTTCTCGGCTACCAAGTAAATGCAGTTCAATATAATGTTTCAGTTTCAGTAGTACACCTTATCTCTGCTAACAAGACTCTTTCATTATCTATACTATTAGTGTAGAATTGAAAACATTCTCCACTTTTTGATTTCTTCTTCTCTAAAGGTATTTAGACAAAGGTTTCCTTTGTCCCTGATCCTCTTTAGTCCTTCATCGAACCTTCATTTTTTTTTGGAACATTAAGGCTTTCTTAAGGAAAACTACTCCTCCAATTTGCATCTTGTAAACTCCCAGAGATCATTTCTTGGAATTGGCTGTAATCACAAAAGAAAGCTCAGGTAGAGTCATTTGGTAGTTTTGCCTTGTTTCAGATTTCCTCTGTGAATCTCATTGAGGACGACATCATTGTTGGAGCTGTCAGATATCCCGCTGTCCGCGAACACAGAGCCTGCGGGCAATGAGAACAATGTGTTATGAAGAATATATTCAAATATGCGATGTTTGAAAAGGACTATCTGCCACCGCATCACATACCACTGCTATTGGTGCCATAACTGACAACAGAGGAGCTTCGAGAAGTGAACTTTGGATCCAAGGTGATTGCACTGGAGCGAGAGATATTCTTCTTGTTTTGTGTGAATGTTCGACTCCAATCTGTAGAATACATGACTGTTTAACCAAAAATAGGCTGAAAATTGACACGTTTGTTTGCTTTCAAACTATCTGCTTTTTTAAAAGGCAGGGTAATACGACAACATTTCACTTTGATTTTCCTGTCACATTCTTTAAAATCTCTGCCAAATCTCTTGTTAGGTCAAAGCAACCCAGCAACACTTTTAAGCCATTCATATTTATGCTTATCTAAAGGCTTAAATCTAGAACATTAGCACTAATTAGCAGTTATCTATCAGGTATGTAGCTAATATTTAACAAATGTTTTTTGGCTTTAAAGCAGTCAATCCTCAAAAAATCTGAAAGCCTTCCCAGAAAACAAGAAAACAAACCAAGTACTGCGAAGTACTGTAGGAGTGGTCTACTAGTTTTATGTCAATTCTAGAGTTCAGCAGTTGGTGAGAGGCAAGTTCAACCCATTAGTCAGGGCATTAGTTTCAGAAAGATAGAGAATTCAACTGTAATTAGCTGGTTTATGATAAGCAGTAAACTATGTGGATTTAACAAGTTTAGCTTTGGATTTAAACCTGAGCTCTCCTCACACATGGATGTGAATGACATACTACATCCATATATCATATCTTTATTTAGATTACTTTAAGTTTTTATTTAAATGAGTTCTAATTTTGGTGGAAATTAAGAACAAAATTTGAAGACAAAGGTTCTAAAGCAACCACTGTTTACTCTGTTGTAACCAACTGAACTACTATAAAGTGCTTCTAAAGAAATCTTCGGGAACATTTAGTAATTTCACCTGAGTTCTCAGCCAGTCGCAGTTTTCCACAGCAAAGGTAAGTTCTCCACTGCCTGCGGACATTCTCTTTTATGGCGCAGTGGAAAACAAAGACAAAGAAACCTACACAGGAACAGTAAGGAAGTAGCTTATAGTATACATCCATGCATTTTATAGTGTTATTATTGTGTTATTATATATTTGTGTTATTATGATAAAAAATAATCAATCCTATTTAGAAATTCAAGGTGTTTATACATATGTCACCTTGCAGAGAGTTGAATATAGAAAAAAGGTAAACAAAGGGTAAGTAGAGGGGTCCCCATGCAAACAGAGCAAACCCCCAGGTAAGGCCGAGGATGATGACGAGGCCGGTGACACTGCGCAGATCAGTCATAACACTTCTTTTGGGAGACTGGTTGTGGGGGTTCTGCTTCTTGATACGTGAAAGCTGTCCCATAACAACGATGAAGGCCAGCAGGCACAGGATAAAGATCAGGAGGAAATAGGCCACCACACCCACATAGAAGGCTATGTTATTACTCAGCCAGCAGCTACAGAAAGAAAACAAAGGAGAAATGACCAAGGGAACATTTTAGCTTCAAAACAGTGATAACTTGTTTTCTTTCTCTTCACTTAGGTTGCTTCAAAATTATTAGATGCTGTGGCGACACAACTAAAGCAGTGTGATTAATCAAAGGTTAAGTTCTTTGCTAAGGTGGCTGGACCATCTAATTTGTTGATGTGTATGGCAAAATCCATTTACAGTAGTTGAACAGACCTTTCCCACAGGGATATTTTGACTCCTCACTTGGAAAAATCACTCTAAAATTCATAATGGCTCTGTTTCAATATGTGCATCAGCATCAATAATCCATGCCATAAAGCAGCCTCATGGAATGTGAGAATCCTGGCAGTTGCATAGTGTTTTTAAATCATCATCTCTGATCAGTGTTGGGAGAATCAAGTTAGGACATTTTTCCACAGTTGCCACTCCTGGGAAATACTTTGGTTTAGGAATGGTGACATTAGTTCAACTGGTTATTGCACAGTTTCATACTCAGGAGCTGAAAAATGGAAATGGCTGATTTCCTGACATTGCACTACACTCTTACGGTCCCACCAGAGCATCTCAGTGGGGATGAGGACTGGACTTTCACTGGGCCAGTTCAGCACCTTAATTCTTTCCTTTGCTACTGTTTTTGGGATCTTTGGGATTTTCATCAAGGTTTAGCTGTGGGACTGATGGACACATATTTGCCTTTAGAATACTAGTATGTATAGGTCCTATGGTTTAAAAACAAGCCTAAATCATCAGCCTTTAATCATTGTGCTTGACAGTTTGTATGCAGTGTTTATGCTGATAAACAGTTTTTTGCCAAAAATAGAGCTGTGCATTTTGTCCAAAGATCTCTGCCTTGGTCTCCTCTATCCAAAGGGAATTGTTCTAAAATTATTGTGTTTTTTCAGTTGTAATTTTGCAAATATAAGCCATGCTGCCATGTCCCTTTGAAGAGAACAGGTTTTCTCCTGGCAGCCCTTCCAAATAAGCTATATTTTCTCTGTCTTTTTCTAATTGTACTTTAATGAACCTAAACATTTAATATGTTACCGCTGATTTCTCTATGATTGCTGCTGATGTCTTTTCTGCTTGGCATTGTGTTAACACACACCTGAATGCTCCAGAGCAGCAAACTGCCAACACTTGCTGATGATTAGTTAATTCAGTGTATTTTATTAAGAGAACCAGGCTGCTGTTTACCCTCTTAATTCTAATGGAAGCAGTAATGGTATACTTAGTTTTTCACATGGTGCTTGTACATTTTGGCTTATTTCTGGTTAAATAATGCCACTGTGTAAAATCGTGTGGTATTTAAATAGATAACCTTTATTATATTTTTTCAAGAAATATGTTTAACCAACATTATGGGAATGCTGCTTACTCTCAAATGCCGTTTAGGAAAAGCACAGACTGCACTTTCCAAAATGTTATTAACCATTCAAAATATTTTACACTACAAGCCTTATTCATCTCATTTACTATTCACATACACGATCAGAATTCAGTATCTTGCCCAAGTAAGTGTTCTATCTACAGTACTTAGCCATAGCTTCTTGGTGAGTTTAATCAAGAAAATGGATCTAAAGCTTTGACATACAAAACAAAATATTAAAAAATAACTCACAAGTTATCTGAAGTGTCATTTGTGTGTTTTCCATAATTAATCAAACCATAGTTGTTTTTGTCCACGGATATCACAATAATTACAATGACAAGAGGAATACCTGCAAAAAACCCAAGGTTAATCAAAGGAAATTTATGAACATATTTAAAATATTGATATAATGAAAAATTAATAATTGATCATCTAGTAAAAGTTTGAAGATTCCTACCCCAACCCGTCAAAGTGAACTTCAGCATGTACTGGCTCAGGTAGGGTGTAAAAACTCGCACAATGCTGAGATACATATGCAGGGCCTCAAGCCCCGCCCATGTAAATGATGTCAGCAGGAAGTAGTGCAGGAAGAAGGCAGTACAAATACAGAGGCCTGTATTGTTGTGACTCGCCAGCCAGCTGTCCAGCAGGAACACCAAGTTCAGGAAGAGCAGAGATAAACAGAGTTGGACCAAGATCTTGGCTGGTATATCCCTTAGCAATTTTCTACAAAGACAGAGTTTAATAAAGAACGTTAAGAAATTTATAAGACTAAACAGTAATGATTGATGTGCACCAAAATAGATCCTTACGGAAAAGAAAGATACGTCAGCAATGTGATAGCAAGAAAAATAGCAGAGATTCCACAGCCAATGTAGGTGATGAAAGTAAGAATTTGTGTGTTCTTCTGGTCAGGAAGTTCCTGTCTGGACAAATCCTGCATGGAGAAGTGGCATACACAACAAACAGACAGTGAACACAAACTGAGGCAATTTGTTTCTGTTGCTGGTTGTTATAAATTATACATGAAACAGAAACAGGTGCACAAATTCACACTAACCAGCAGTACTGCAAAGGATGTAAGATGGCTGCAGCTGCAGATTGTATATTCAGGGGTGCTGTTGACCACAAAGCAGCCAACAGAGCTCCAGCCTCCTCCACCACCTGAAAAATAACATCAAGGGCAGGAATATTTACACCTGGGGCTTTCTGGCTCTTCACAGACACTGTTTGAAATGTGCAAACTCACTATTCAGCGTGAAATCCCAAAATGCACATTTGGCTGTGTAGTTTTCCTACAAACCAAAAACAATTTGTTATTACAGTTTATCTTTTTGTGAGCCTATATTGTTTATAATTGCAGTGATATAATGTTATGATCATAAGTGAACAATACAAAACTACTAACGTGCTGCACATGACACTCACATGAACCGGGTTTCTGTTTCGGATGGTGAACTTAATGTTTTCACTCAGGTTGCTAATTGACAGATTAGCCACACTTGAGCCTAGAACTGCGCTGACAAGAGTTTTGTTATCTAATGATGCATCCTGCAAACATGAAGAAATATACAGAGGTCAGTTACAGGAGAATGAGATTCGCTTTAAATTTAACCCCTTTCATATAGGTCATAATCAATTAGATAAATCAAAACAGAAAATAAATAAATACATTCTGATATGACAGTGAGAAAGCACCTTAAAGAATGAATTTTTTGCATAGAAAGTAAACTGGATGCTGTTGGCCTGCTTCTGCTCTTCAGGGCTGATACCAGATGTGAGGGAGGCAGGCAAGTATACAGACGCCAAAGCAGGCTCTGAGCTTTTCATGGTCCTTTTTGGGCCACTGAACTGAAAACACGCAATAAATAAATAATTAAGTGGTAGGTTTGGGTTTAGGTGTGGTTGAGCCCTTACGTGTCTTAGAGACTAAGATTGATATGTTTATTTAAAAAAAGGCTCTCATGTGAGGACCAATGTCTCTTGATGAGCAGATGACTACCTGGACATGATCAGTGTTAAAAACATCAAAAAGGATTGTTGTGAAGTTGCTCCCATTCACTGTTTTCACAGCAACAACTAAGGAACTGGTTGACAGAATTCCATCGCCACCAGTGACAGCCAGTTTAACACCCAGATCATCCACCAAGTGAATCAGCCTGTCGCCAAGAAATACAACACAAACATCAGGGGGAAAAAAAATCACATTTGCATGTGCATATGTTATTTTCTTTGTTTGTTTTAAGACAGACGTGTGTGTTGAACCTGTTTGCAGATTTAGAGAGTGCCTCAGGGTTACTGTCCATCAAGTTACTGACAACTTTGATTACCACTGATGGTGAAACAGAGGGACTGTCCAGATGCTTCTCCAGCGTCTCAACCAACACTGACACCTTAAAATTCCCAAATGAGACATTAAAATAAACAAACACAGTCGTTATCCATTTAAATGTTAGTTGCACAACAGAGCAGCAGAGTGACATTTACTTGAGAGGCGTTGAGCAGAGATATAGCCTGTGTTTGATTCAACAGGTAGACTGCTTCATCAGTTGTTTGTACATCAGTTGTGGAAGTTCCTGTGTTCTCTACAGGAGCAAATCATCAAATCAGTAGATCTATTTTTTTGTTCTGTAGCTTAAAACTCGATAGTAATAACTTTTTAAAAAGGTTAAACTGCAGTATCTACATACCAGCCACTGTGGTGGTTGTAGTAGTTTTGGTGAGCGGTGTTGTATAAGTCAAAGAAACCTCAGCAGTTGTGCCATTTAAATCTTGTGGACCATGACCTGTTATAGTAGTTGCAGTGGTTGCGGGTGAGATAATAACAACAGATGCATTTTCTGTTGTTGTTGTTGTCGTTGTTGTCGTTGTTGTCGTTAAACCAGCCTCTGGTCTGTCATCTGTTTGGACGGTGCTGGCAGCTGTGGTGGGCATGGTTTCATTTTTGCTTATTGTTGTGACATGAGTCAAACTCACTGTGGTGAAATTTGCAGTCTGGTTCTTCAGTGGAGCTGAAGTAGGTTTAGTACTGTGAGACACTGCAGCAGTTGTGCTTTTCTCTGTGGTTCCAATAATTGCAGTTGTTTTATTTTGAGATAGAATAGTCAGAGTAATGATCACTGGTGTTGTGTAATTGTTAGAGGCTGTAGTTGTGCTCTTTATCATTGTGTAGTTGGGAGATATTGTTGTTGTACTAACTGTTGTGTTACTGGTTGTCGCTACACCATTGTGTAAAGTTGTGCCAGCTGTTGTTACATTGTACATTGCTGTGTAATTGTTGTCAGCTGTGGTTGCAGCATACACAAGGGTGTAATTACTACCAGATCCAGTTGCATTATAAACTATTGTGTAGTTGTTGTTAGTTGCAGTTACATTAAAATTGTTGCCAGATGTAATTGCATTATACACTACTGTGTAATTGATGACAGCTGTGGATGCATTATACATTGCTGTATAATTATTACCAGGTGTAGTTGCTGTGGAACTATTCATAGTTGTAGCTGTACTAAAGTTGCTGGACACTAATGTGGAATTACTGCCAGGTGTAGTTGCATAATTAAGTGTTGTGTAATTTTGGTTAGTTGTATTTTCATTCAAATTGGTCCCAGATGTAGTGGCATTATGAACTACTGTGTCATTGTTGTTCACTGTGGTTGCATCGTAAACCTTTGTGTAACTGTGCCCACCTGTAGTTGTATAATTATTGCTACCTGAAGTTGTATTTTGTGGGATTATGTAATTGTTACCAGCTGTGGTTGTGCCATCGACTGTTGTATAATTGTTTCTCTCTATAGTAGCACTGTGAACTGTTGTAGAATTATTGTTGGCTGTGGTTGCGTTGTAGCTGTTGCCAGGTTGTCTGTCATTGTTTCTGACCGTAGTTGCATTGTACGCTGTTGTAAAATTATTGCTGGACATAGCTGTATTGTACAATGTTGTAGAATTATTGCTGGCTGTAGTTGTGTTGTAATTGTTTTCTGACATAGCTGAATTGTAGGTTGTTGCGTAAATGTTGCTGGCTGTAGAATTATTGTTGGCTGTAGTTGTATTATAACTGTTGCTAGTTTGTCTGTCATTATTGCCAGAAGTAAATGAATTGTACAGTGATGTATTGTTCAAAGTTGTTAGAAATGGGCTGACTGTTGTGTAATTGTTGTTTGCAGTTGTTGTATTGTAAATATTGCCAGTTTCTATGTAACTGTTACCAGCTGTGGTTTCACTGTACATTGTTGTGTAATTGCTACCATCTATAGTTGTATTATACACTCTAGTGTCATTTTTGCTTGTAGTTTGAGTGTATACTGTTGGATAACTGTCGGCAGCTATAGTTGTATTGTATGTTGTGTAATTGTCATCAGTTGTTGTTGCACTGTTGACTGTTGTATAATTGTTTCTGACTGTAGCTGCATTGTGTGCTGTTGTAAGATTATTGCTTGACATATCTGTATTGTACAATGTTGTAGAATTATTGATGGCTGTAGATGTGTTGTAATTGTTGTCTGACATAGTTGCATTGTACGCTGTTGTATAATTGTTGTTGGACACAGCTGTATTATACACTGTTGTAGAAGAAATGTTGGTTGTAGTTGTGTTGTAATTGTTGTCAGTTTCTCTGTCATTGTTGCCAGATGTAATTGAATTGTACACTGTTGTACTGTTCGGAGTTGTTAAAAATGGGCTCACTGTTGTGTAATTGTTGCTGGCTGTTTTGGTATTGTAAATATTGCCAGTTTCTATGTAACTGTTACCAGCTGTGGTTTCACTATACACTGTTGTGTAATTTCTACCAGCTACAGTTGCATTATACACTGTACTGTCATTTTTGCTTGATGTAGTTTGAGTGTATGCTGTTGGATGACT